CAGCGTAAGCATAGCCCTAGGAGCGACTACACCAACCTGGTGCCGCATGTCCGAGTGGCACATCCCCATTTTGAGCGAGAAATGCTAATGCAACCGCAGCAGCGACTGGCACTCTCGTGACCTGGGTGAGTCAGAAAGCTTCCAACCGCTACGCATGGATGAAGTGAATCGTCATGGACAATCTGCCGCTCTCATTCTGCGAGTCCGTGGAGACACGAAGGTAAGTACTAACAATGAGCATGCTTTTATTTCTATTCAAAATTTGATCTGACCAATATGTCATACTATTTTTGGTAGGTACACTACTCCTGTGTCTGTGAACACTCTGGTCTCCAGCATTGAAAGCGTGACCAAGGCAGTGGAGAAGGCAATCGGTGAAGAGATGCCTGACGAATTTGGCCTGATGCTGGACGACTGGAGCCAAGACACGGAGCAGTTCTTGGCTATTTACGGATGCTACGACTCGCCTGGCGGCCCTCGGTACCCTCTGCTGTCTATGGCTCCTGTTATGGACGAGCCTGACGATCACTTGAATGCCGAAGAGCGCATGAGAGCAATTGTGCGGTTCTTGCCATTTTTTGGTAAGACTATTAACGGCTGCAAGTTTCTCGTTGGTGATAACTGCGCAGTCAACAAACGGCTTGCAAACCTGATGAATGTGCCGCTAGTTGGCTGCGCAAGGCATCGTCTGAGTCTCGCTGTTCGAGAGTTTCTTGTTCCTTTTGAAACTGCGCTTGATCAAGTTCAGCAGCTTATGCGGAAGCATCGTACAAAACCAAGCTGCAAAATGAGGTATACAAAATCTGTGATTTGTGATTTGATAATTGGGATTTGGATTAACCTAAATTTGTGCGAATCTATTTTTTTATTAGGATGAAGACACCCTTGATGCCAATTCTGAGCCAGGATACACGCTGGTCCTCAACGTTCTCCATGCTTGAACGCTACATTCGCCTGCGTGAATTCCTTTCTGCTAACGATGACGACATGATGGATCTGCTACCGTCAAGAGCAGTTCATCGTAAGCTGTAGGATCTCTTGTCGAAGTTGCGGTGCATCGAATCGATTTCCAAGAAATTACAGGGGGATGAGTTAACCCTGCTCGATGCACGCGATTTGTTTGACGGCCTGTTGGAATTGAGGCCCTCAATGACCACCTATCTTTGTAAGTGCTTTCTATAAACTATTGTGACGGAGAGATACTAATATCTTGCGTTTTGACGACAGCGCCTGATGCCGAAATTGTGCACTCGCCTGCGTTTGAAGCAGCGGTTGTCAAGATGTTGGTAGGCGATGCGGGCTTGTTGACGAACGAAGAGGCCAGAGCTTTGGAACCATTCCGTGTACCAGCGGAGGCTTTGAGCACCGCGGAAGTGACGAGTTCTACCGCAAAGGAAGGGTTTGCTGATCAAATCCTAAATCGACGCAAAATTGTTGCCAATCCATCGACCTACAATCTCCTATCAGTTATCCCACCTACGTCGAATCGAGTAGAGAGGTTTTTTCAGTATCGCTCGTGCCGTGGTTCGACACGAGCGACACAGGTTGTCGCCTATGACTCTCGAAATGATTCTCTTTCTGAAGGTTAGTGGAGGCTTCTGGGATGTGGCGACAGTGGATGCGTGTCTAGAGAAGTAGAAGGCTAGCACACTTGGCATGCAAAAATTTACTGTCTGCCTCACCACAATTGCAATTATTTATTTCCTTGCTCTGGTCTCATTTGACCCGATATGTATTTCACCGCACGGCAAGCAGTTGTATTATATTGTATTTTGAGTATCCCTGCCCACAGGCACGACGCATCCTTTAAAATGCTAAAAAAAAAAAAACCATTGCACTATTTTCAGGCTATTGCGTTCAGCGGCAACTTCCAATCCAAGCGCGAATTCGGAGCGGTAGTAGTGACTATCTGAGCGAAGATACTTGGTGAGCTTCCACCAGGAGTCCTGTCGGTTGAAGACACGCAACTGGATGCCAGATCCAGTCGAGTAGCTAGAGGGAGCCTGTCTTGCATTGTGGAAAGGGAGATTGCGGTCGGGGCCGAGATAACTGGAGATTGTAGCAGCGAAGAGATCGAGGGTGTAGCTGTTCGCCTGGTGGCGCAGTACGATGGACACACACACAGCAGCGATGGGCGAACCATGTTGCCGTTGGTCGAGTACTTTAAGGAATGACGGGGCAAGATCGTCAATGACCTAGATTGGCTGTGTTTTCGATGGGGTACTCGAATTCAGTAACCTTCTGGCTTCTACGTGTTCTTCTTTGTCGAGCAGAGGGATGCTGAACGAAATGCGTTGTCCATCACGAAAAATCTGGCGAAATTGGAGATCGTTGTTGACGATTGTTTCATACCTCATGATTTTGGAGAGACTCGCCATTGTCCAGTAGTGTGCAAAGTATCTCTTAGGCTCACAGTAGCATTGAGCGAACTGGTATCGCCCCCAAAGAATTTGTTGGTCGCTATACACGTTATACATCAATTCATATCCGTACGAGGGACTAGATTCCATAATGCCGCACGAGACTAGAAGCGATAGAATTAAAATTCTAATTCTTAAAAATTAAAGCAGCACACTTGGTTTAGTATGATTCGGCATAAAAACAGAGGGAAGAAGCAGGTTTCCAAACCTACTCTATTTTATCGCACTTCTCGATACGAGAAGTGCTGGCTGTTGTGCTGAATTGGATTGAGACTGCTTCAACACGCCGGGATCAGGAGGTTCGCTTCGATTTAGCGTACGCTATCGTGCATAAGTACATAATTCATGGTGTCTACACTGTCGTCCGGGCGCTGAGTGATGACATTTACCTCCTTAAATCTGTTTCGCAAGACTTTATCCGTATTTTGATCAAGCCCCCTGCGCCATTGATGGCACACACTTCGAGGTTGTGGTGTCCAGCGACGATGCAAAGCGCTTTCGAAATCATAAGGGCTTCGTGCCGACAAACATTTGGCTCGTTTTGCGGCAAAAACAGTTTGGTACGTCACCAGCGACAGTCTATTGTCGACGTTCGCTGCATTC